TGGTTGTGGTTGTGGCAGTGGTCGTGGTTGTTGTAGTTGTGGTTGTTGATGTTGTCATGGTTGTGGTTGTCGTGGTTGTTGCTGTGGTTGTCGTAGTAGTTGTAGTTGTGGTGGTGGTGGTGGTGGTGGTGGTGGTGGTGGTAGTCGTTGTTGTTGTGGTGGTGGTTGTCGTTGTTGCTGTTGTTGTTGTGGTTGTTGTCGTTGTCGTTCTTGTCGTGGTTGTGGTTGTCGTGGTGGTTGTGGTTGTTGTCGTAGTAGTTGTTGTTGTGGTGGTGGTTGCGGTTGTTGTTGTAGTTGTTGTGGTTGTCGTGGTTGTGGTTGTTGTTGCGGTTGTCGTGGTGGTCGTGGTGGTTGTGGTTGTTGTTGTCGTTGTGGTTGCTGTAGTTGTGGTTGTTGTTGTGGTCGTGGTGGTTGCGGTTGTTGTCGTAGTAGATGTAGTGGTGGTGGTGGTTGTGGTGGTTGTTGTAGTTGTTGTCGTCGTGGTTGTGGTTGTCGTGGTGGTTGTGGTTGTTGTTGTTGTCGTAGTAGTACTTGTAGTTGTCGTTGTGGTTGTTGATGTTGCCGCCGTGGTCGTCGTTGTTGTCGTGGTTGTGGTTGTCGCGATAGTTGTGGTTGTCGTGGTGGTCGTGGTTGTGGTTGTAGTTGTGGTGGTCGTTGTGGTTGTGGTTGTTGTCGTGGTTGTTGTTGCGGTGGTCGTGGTTGTTGTTGTTGTGGTTGTTGTCGTTGTCGTCGTGGTTGTACTTGTCGTTGTTGTTGTTGCAGTTGTAGTTGTCGTTGTTGTCGTGGTTGTGGTTGTCGTGGTGGTTGTGGTTGTTGTCGTAGTAGTAGTTGTGGTGGTGGTAGTGGTTGTTGTAGTTGTGGTTGTCGTTGTAGTTGTTGTTGTCGTAGTGGTACTTGTAGTTGTCGTTGTGGTCAGTGTTGTTGTCGTTGTGGTTGTCGATGTTGTCGTGGTTGTGGTTGTTGTGGTTGTTGTGGTGGTTGTGGTTGTGGTTGCTGTAGTTGTGGTTGTTGTTGTGGTCGTGGTGGTTGCGGTTGTTGTCGTAGTAGATGTAGTGGTGGTGGTGGTTGTGGTGGTTGTTGTAGTTGTTGTCGTCGTGGTTGTGGTTGTCGTTGTGGTTGTCGTGGTGGTCGTGGTTGTGGTTGTAGTGGTGGTTGTCGTCGTGGTTGTGGCTGTCGTCGTGGTTGTGGTTGTGGTTGTGGTTGTGGTTGTAGTTGTAGTTGTCGTTGTCGTTGTCGTTGTTGTTGTTGTTGTTGTCGTTGTTGTGGTGGTCGTTGTTGTTATTGTTGTGGTGGTGGTGGTTGTGGATGTTGTTGTTGTCGTTGTGGTTGTTGTCGTGGTTGTCGTCGTAGTAGTTGTAGTTGTGGTGGTGGTTGTGGTTGTTGTTGTTGTGGTTGTTGTTGTGGTTGTCGTGGTTGAGGTTGTGGTTGTTGTGGTGGTTGTGGTGGTTGTTGTCGTTGTTGGTGTTGTGGTGGTCGTGGTTGTTGTTGTCGTTGTGGTTGTTGTCGTTGTCGTTGTGGTTGTACTTGTCGTGGTTGTTGTTGTGGTTGTCGTTGTTGTCGTGGTTGTGGTTGTCGTGGTGGTTGTGGTTGTGGTTGTTGTTGTAGTTGTGGTTGTTGTTGTGGTGGTCGTGGTGGTTGTGGTTGTTGTCGTAGTAGATGTAGTTGTGGTGGTGGTTGTAGTGGTTGTTGTAGTTGTTGTCGTCGTTCTGGTTGTCGTTGTGGTTGTAGTTGTGGTTGTTGTGGTTGTAGTTGTCGTTGTGGTCGTGGTTGTGCTTGTAGTTGTGGTTGTCGTGGTGGTTGTGGTTGTCGTCGTAGTAGTTGTAGTTGTAGTTGTGGTGGTGGTTGTGGTTGTCGTTGTGGTTGTTGCGGTTGTTGTTGTTGTTGTTGTTGTTGTCGTGGTTGTTGTTGTCGTTGTGGTTGTTGTCGTTGTCGTCGTGGTTGTTGTTGTCGTTGTGGTTGTTGTTGTTGTTGTTGTTGTTGTCGTCGTGGTTGTTGTTGTCGTTGTGGTTGTTGTCGTGGTTGTGGTTGTCGTTGTGGTTGTTGTTGTGGTTGTGGTTGTTGTCGTGGTCGTCGTTGTGGTTGTGCTTGTTGTTGTTGTCGTTGTGGTTGTCGTTGTTGTCGTGGTTGTGGTTGTGGTGGTGGTTGTGGTTGTGGTTGTTGTTGTAGTTGTGGTTGTGGTGGTTGTGGTTGTTGTCGTAGTAGATGTAGTTGTGGTGGTGGTTGTGGTGGTTGTTGTAGTTGTTGTCGTCGTTGTGGTTGTCGTTGTGGTTGTAGTTGTGGTTGTTGTGGTTGTGGTTGTCGTTGTGGTTGTCGTGGTGGTCGTGGTTGTGGTTGTGGTTGTGGTTGTCGTGGTGGTTGTGGTTGTCGTCGTAGTAGTTGTAGTTGTAGTTGTGGTGGTGGTTGTGGTTGTCGTTGTGGTTGTTGTTGTGGTGGTCGTGGTTGTTGTTGTCGTTGTGGTTGTTGTTGTGGTTGTGGTGGTGGTTGTGGTTGTAGTTGTGGTTGTAGTGGTGGTGGTGGTGGTTGTGGTTGTAGTTGTGGTTGTTGTTGTTGTCGTTGTGGTTGTTGTTGTTGTCGTCGTGGTTGTTGTTGTCGTTGTGGTTGTTGTTGTTGTTGTCGTCGTGGTTGTTGTTGTCGTTGTGGCTGTTGTCGTTGTCGTCGTGGTTGTACTTGTTGTTGTTGTCGTTGTAGTTGTGGTTGTCGTTGTTGTCGCGGTTGTGGTTGTCGTTGTGGTTGTTGTTGTGGTTGTGGTTGTTGTCGTGGTCGTCGTTGTGGTTGTGCTTGTTGTTGTTGTCGTTGTGGTTGTCGTTGTTGTCGTGGTTGTGGTTGTCGTGGTGGTTGTGGTTGTGGTTGTTGTTGTAGTTGTGGTTGTGGTGGTTGTGGTTGTTGTCGTAGTAGATGTAGTTGTGGTGGTGGTTGTGGTGGTTGTTGTAGTTGTTGTCGTCGTTGTGGTTGTCGTTGTGGTTGTAGTTGTGGTTGTTGTGGTTGTGGTTGTCGTTGTGGTTGTCGTGGTGGTCGTGGTTGTGGTTGTGGTTGTGGTTGTCGTGGTGGTTGTGGTTGTCGTCGTAGTAGTTGTAGTTGTAGTTGTGGTGGTGGTTGTGGTTGTCGTTGTGGTTGTTGTTGCGGTGGTCGTGGTTGTTGTTGTCGTTGTGGTTGTTGTTGTGGTTGTGGTGGTGGTTGTAGTTGTGGTTGTAGTGGTGGTGGTCGTGGTTGTGGTTGTAGTTGTGGTTGTTGTTGTTGTCGTTGTGGTTGTTGTTGTTGTCGTTGTTGTTGTTGTCGTTGTTGTGGTTGTTGTCGTTGTCGTGGTTGTTGTTGTCGTTGTGGTTGTTGTTGTTGTCGTGGTTGTTGTTGTCGTTGTGGTTGTTGTCGTTGTCGTAGTGGTTGTACTTGTCGTGGTTGTTGTTGTGGTTGTCGTTGTGGTTGTTGTCGTGGTTGTGGTTGTCGTGGTTGTCGTTGTAGTTGTGGTTGTCGTTGTTGTCGTGGTTGTGGTTGTCGTTGTGGTTGTTGTTGTCGTAGTAGTACTTGTAGTTGTCGTTGTGGTCGTTGTTGTTGTCGTTGTTGTCGTTGTTGTCGTGGTTGTGGTTGTCGTGGTGGTTGTGGTTGTGGTTGTGGTTGTAGTTGTGGTTGTTGTTGTGGTGGTCGTGGTGGTTGTGGTTGTTGTCGTAGTAGATGTAGTTGTGGTGGTAGTTGTGGTTGTAGTTGTGGTTGTCGTGGTTGTGGTTGTCGTTGTGGTTGTCGTGGTGGTTGTAGTTGTGGTTGTCGTGGTGGTTGTGGTTGTTGTCGTAGTAGATGTAGTTGTGGTGGTAGTTGTGGTTGTAGTTGTGGTTGTCGTGGTTGTGGTTGTCGTTGTGGTTGTCGTGGTGGTTGTAGTTGTGGTTGTCGTGGTGGTTGTGGTTGTTGTCGTAGTAGATGTAGTTGTGGTGGTAGTTGTGGTTGTAGTTGTGGTTGTCGTGGTTGTGGTTGTCGTTGTGGTTGTCGTGGTGGTTGTAGTTGTGGTTGTCGTGGTGGTTGTGGTTGTTGTCGTAGTAGATGTAGTTGTGGTGGTAGTTGTGGTTGTAGTTGTGGTTGTCGTGGTTGTGGTTGTCGTTGTGGTTGTCGTGGTGGTTGTAGTTGTGGTTGTCGTGGTGGTTGTGGTTGTTGTCGTAGTAGATGTAGTTGTGGTGGTAGTTGTGGTTGTAGTTGTGGTTGTCGTGGTTGTGGTTGTCGTTGTGGTTGTCGTGGTGGTTGTGGTGGTGGTTGTGGTTGTGGTTGTTGTGGTTGTAGTTGTGGTTGTGGTTGTAGTTGTAGTTGTCGTGGTTGTCGTTGTTGTGGTGGTGGTTGTTGTTGTCGTCGTTGTTGTCGTTGTCGTGGTGGTTGTGGTTGTGGTCGTTGTTGTTGTCGTCGTTGTTGTTGTCGTTGTTGTAGTTGTGGTTGTCGTTGTTGTCGTTGTTGTAGTTGTGGTTGTGGTTGTTGTCGTTGTCGTTGTGGTGGTGGTTGTCGTGGTGGTTGTGGTTGTGGTGGTGGTGGTCGTGGTTGCCGTTGTTGTAGTTGTGGTGGTCGTTGTTGTCGTTGTCGTTGTGGTGGTGGTTGTAGTTGTCGTTGTAGTTGTGGTCGTCGTTGTAGTTGTCGTTGTTGTGGTGGTTGTAGTTGTCGTTGTTGTGGTGGTTGTTGTCGTCGTGGTTGTCGTGGTTGTTGTTGTAGTTGTGGTCGTGGTTGTTGTCGTCGTTGTTGTTGTGGTTGTGGTGGTTGTGGTTGTCGTTGTTGTTGTTGTGGTTGTGGTTGTGGTGCTTGTCGTAGTTGTGGTTGTGGTAGTTGTGGTTGTGGTAGTTGTCGTCGTCGTCGTCGTTGTAGTTGTCGTTGTTGTTGTTGTTGTGGTGGTGGTGGTGGTGGTGGTGGTTGTCGTGGTTGTGGTTGTGGTGGTGGTTGTTGTCGTCGTCGTGGTTCTTGTTGTTGTGGTTGTCGTCGTCGTCGTTGTAGTTGTCGTTGTTGTGGTTGTCGTTGTGGTGGTGGTTGTAGTTGTCGTTGTAGTTGTGGTTGTCGTGGTGGTTGTTGTTGTCGTCGTTGTTGTAGTTGTGCTTGTGGTTGTTGTCGTGGTTGTTGTCGTTGTTGTTGTGGTTGTCGTTGTTGTGGTCGTCGGTGGAGGTATTGTGGAGTTGGGGAAGGGGCTTTGCGCGTTGATGCAATTCAGTCCGTCGTTTGAATTTGTCGCCTCTGAGGCACTTACCTCCCTGACTGGAACAGTGCGCGCAGCAATGTCTATCTGGTCGAGCTCAATCTCAAACACACCATCAATAGCGGCGTTGTAAGCGCAATAGACCCTGTTGTCAAACGACCACTGCGCGCCGGAACCTCCTCTCTCCTCCGGCAGCCTGCTCCCGGTCATTGCAATTTCGTATTGCGTGCTGGTCGCAAGCGACTCAATGTAGACGTCGTCGCCCCGGCAGCCGACAGCCCACTCTGCTGTGCCCTGGCCATCAAAATTTGCCTCGATGATGACCAAGTCAGCCGTATTTCTTTGAAAAGCCCGAAGAAGAGTGCCAGACAAATTTGTTCCAGGTTGAGTGGTGTAGCCTGGTGTGACATTCAAGTTCGTCACCACGTATGCATTTCCGTTGAGAAGATAAAAGTAGTTGCTGTCAAGGCCAAAGCTTGCTGAGAATGTTCGCCCAATCTCCTTGGCAAGACGTCACCTGCTTGCTGGTTGAAGCACTAAAAGGCAAAAAAAGCTAAGCAGGTCGTCTGGCCATGTTTCCCCAAGCACGCACACCTTTCCAACTCCTGGACCATCTGCAGTCGGCGTGGGGCATTCCACCCGCACCAGTGCCCTGGGATCGCTCCTGGAGGGGGCAGTTGGGAGTGGTTTAGTAGGTTGAGGAGAGAAGTACCAAGAAATGTCAGCAAGGGTTGCCAGTTTATTTTGCCAGGCAATTTTGATCATGAGAGCCCCAGGCTGCGCGCGCGAGTTTGCACGATTTCGGAAAGATGTTTCTTGCTCCTTTCAACCTAACGGCCTAACGACTGGACTGGCGCGCTCTGCGCAACTTCCACAAGACCTTCGCGCGCGAGACCTCTCCGCGAGACCTCTGCAAGACTTGCGCGCCACTACTCACGCGTGGAGCAGAAGCAGCGCAGCGTGATTTCCTCTTACCCCTAGCTGCTGAAGCTCACCTGCGCTCACATTCTCTCATGCGCATGAGACACAAGCGGAGCAAGGGAAGTCTCAGCTTTCCAGCTTTGCCTTCCAGTCAGCATCGAGGCATTGAGCACCACCCTTTTTAGGGACGCGTCCAAGTGTTGGTGTGGGTCTGTGTGTGCATGTGCGCTCGCTCTTCATGCTGCAATGAAGCCTGGCCTTGCGCGCTACCCCCGCCCCGTATGAGGGAAGATTATACCAAATGTGTCGCAACGTGTTGCGCGCAAAAAACTCTTGTTGGGGCTTCATTCACGTTCCTCCTGGCTTTTCCATTTCCTGCGCCTGTCTACGGCTAATTGCTCTAATTAACCTAATTCTTCTTTGGGACAGCCAGGTTGGTCTTCCCAGGCGTGTTGTCCGGAATGTTGGGACTTACGTTTTCTATTTTCCTATTGTTCTAATTCTATAGAAAGTTAGACACACTGAAAATGATTGATTGTCCAGCTAGTTTTTCTCATTTCTACATATATAGCTGAAATGAAAGGACTGCAGAAAGCTTACGGAAGTCTGTCCAGGCTGGGCCCCCCCATCATCCTCGCAATCATCATCATCATCATCACCATCATCATCATCTTTTTAATGAGAAAATTTGTCGGGAAATCAATGATTTTTCTAATATTTCTAATTTTCCTAATTATTTGGAGGAGGCTAGGTTTCCGGAATGTTGGGACCTATTGTTATTTTTCTAATTAATTGGAAAATAGCCAGAAAATCATCAATTTTCTTATTTCATTATTCATTAGAAAGATTAGCTGGCAAATCAGCACTTTATCTATTTTTCATTTTTCGTAACTAAATAGAAACATTGGCTGCGAAACCAATCAACTTTAATGTATGCTTCTGTACTTTTTCTAATTATTTAGAAGAGGCTAGGTTTCCGGAATGTTGGGACCAATTCAAAATTATCTAATTGTTATATTTTCTCATTTTTCTGACTAGACAAATTAGCTGAAAACCTGTTATTTTTCTAATTCTGAAATTCTGTTCTTTAACTAATGATGAAAATTGGCTCGAAAATGAATTATTTTTCTGATTTTCTATTTTTTGGAAGAGCCTAGGATACTAATGTCTCTATTTCTCTAATTAATTAGAAACATTAAAGACATTAGAAACAGGCTTGCTGTGTTTCTCAGCTAACTCTTCCAATTATTCAGATAGATAGAAAGATTAGAAAAAGTAGGTCCCAACATTCCGGAAATCTAGCCTCCTCCAAATAATTAGAAAATACGAAAACTGCTTGGTTTTCCAGCCAATTGTTCTAACTAAAAAAAGAAAACTGATTTTTCAGCTGATTTTGTTAATTGGTAAGAAAATAAGATACTTTTTACATAGATATCTGAAATGAAAGGACTGCAGAAAGCTTCCGGTAGTCTGTCCAGGCTGGGCCCCCCCATCCTCGCAATCATCATCATCATCATCACCGTCAACGGCATCATCATCATCATTTTCATCATCATGTCCATCATCATGTTCATGACGTTCTTTTCATTTTGTTTTCCATCTTTTCTATTCAATTAGGAAAAATAGCTGAACAACCTGAAAAATCTATCTTTTTATTTATTTTTAATTTTTCCTAATTAATGAGAAAATTGGCTTGGACATTTTGGAGGAGGCTAGGTTTCCGGAATGCTGGGGCCTATTTTATTTTCTAATTAATTGGAAAATAGCCGGAAAATCATCAATTTTCTTATTTCATTATTCATTAGAAAGATTAGCTGGCAAATCAGCACTTTTGTAACTAAATAGAAACATTGGCTGCGAAACCAATCAACTTTAATGTCTGTTTTTGTATTTTTCTAAATATTTAGAGGAGGCTAGATTTCCGGAATGTTGGGACCAATTAAAAATTTATCTAGTTGTTGTATTTTCTCATTTTCTGACTAGATAGACCTGCTGGCCGCCGGGCCACCCATCTATTGGATATTAGATTTTCTCCGCTGGCGGCCGGCCCGCCTACAAACAAATGGATCTGATGCATGCGTCCACTGGTGGCTGGGCCGCCCCACGCTCCGGTCTCAAGTGTGTGTTTGGGGTGGTGCCAAGACACGGCGCAGGAGCTGAGTTGCGGTGCCTGAAAACTGCAGGCGAGCAAGTCAGTGGTATAGGCGAGGCAGGTCTGAGGCAGGCAAGGCAGGTCCGAGGTAGTTAAGAGCCCAAGAATGTGCTGCAAGGACACACTTAATGCGCAGACCTGTTTTGGCCTGGTCTGGCCCTGGGCACTTCTTCTAGAGTTTGGACGCGGCGTGTTCATGTCCATTTCCTCACAATTTATGCCTATATCTTTCCGTCCCTTTCCATGTTTTCATGTTCCTTTCATTCCTTTCCATGTGTGTTCCATGTCCATTCCATTTCTTTCTTTGTATTTCGTGTATTTTTGTCTAGTTTCCCGAATGCGTGGCAGAAGGGCTCCCATTTAGAGATTGGCGGTCTGGGGTTAGGACGTGACCAGAAGTCGTTGATTTACGTCCTCAAGCGTTCGCAAGCGTCTGAAAGTGTCCGTATGTGTTCGCAAGTGTCGCGGTCGCAGCTCTTGGGAAACCGAAAAACGTGCCATTTAGATGGCTTGAAGCGTGTCATTTTTCGCGCCCCTGTGCGGGAATCGTAGCTCTTAGCGTGTCAGACGTGGTTTTGCTGCGCAGGCGCAGTGTTTTGGAAGGCTGCGTGTTCTCGTTGCCGTGCCATTGGCAGGCACGTGATAGTGTTTGCGCCGGTGCCGTTTTCGTTGGCCCTGTCGCACAGTCGGCTTGTTTTGGCGAGCTTGAAACGTCGAAATCATTCTGGCGCCACAGTCCCGTGCTAGTTTTGGATGCGTGTCGTAAACGCGTCAAAGTTGGATTTCATGGCAGGTCCAGCAGTTTGGGTACAGGTTTTCAGCTCTAGCTGGTCGCAGCTGTGTAGCGCAACTCTAGTGCGCGAAGTACAGTTTTCCAGATCCGGCTGGAAAATCGCAACTTTGTAGCACAAGTCTAGTGCGCGAAGCGTCCAGCTCCAGATTGAAAACCGTATTTTTGTAGCAACAAGTGGAACAAAGTACAGTTTTACAAGGTGAAAAACATAGTTTGCGCAGTTGGCTTGATTGCGAGCCCCATTGGCTTATACCGAAAAATGTTCTCTCAAATTTTCTTGGGTTTGCACAAAGTGATGCGCGTTCGGGTTCGTTGGCTCTGTCTTGTTTGTGTGTCCATTTCGTTCCATTCCTTTTCGCTGAAGTGATCAAGGCCAACCAAGCCGGAGAAGTGCCTTTTTGTAACCTCCCTGAACGGAGTTTGACGGCGAGTTTGCTTTCCCTACTTTTAACTCCTTTCCATGTCCATTCCATGCCCATTTAATTCCATTTTAATTCCATTTAATTCCTTTCGTGTCCTTTCCGTTTCTTTCTGTTTCTTTGCATGACGTTTTTTTTTAAGTCCTTTCTATTCCTGGCCTGGTTGATCCTGCCGTAGCCGTACACTTATCTCACAATTAATTAGAATACTAGATAGAACCAATAGCTGAACAATGAGTCATTTTCCAGCTGAGTACAAAACTAGCTGAAAAACAACTCCTAGGTTTCTAACGGTTCTATCAGTGGGAAACAATAGCTAGAAAATCCATCTGTGCTTTCCTCATCATTGGACGCTCAGAAGAGGGCGGTGAATCGACGAAAACAATCAACAACAAACAAAACAATCAACAACTAACCACAACAATCAACAACTCACACAAACAATCAACAACTAACAAGAAATTGACAGGAAAGGGAACGTGTGTGCTTGCCAAGCCGGGGCTCACTGCCGATAAAGTTTTGTCTAGAATCCATTACGGAGCCTGCCCCGGCTGGATTCCAGGCACGTTGAAGCCCAAATGAAAAGGAAAAGGAAAGGAACTGGAAACGAAGTTAAAGGGACATTGAAAGGAAATGGAGGAAATAGAAAGGAAATTGGAAGGAAAAGGAAACAAGAAAATGGAAAGGACATAGAAAGGAAAGGGAAAGTTTGTGCTTGGCAGTTCTAGGCTCACTGTTGAAAAAGTTGTATGAAACCCCCTTTCCATTTCCGCTCTATTTCCTTTCTATGTCCTTTCCATGTCCATGTCCTTTCTATGTCCTTTTCATGTCAATTTCCTTATCATTTCCTTCCATTTCGCTTCCAGTTCCTTTCCATTTCCTTCCGATTCCTTTCCATGTCCTTTCCATTTCCTTTCCTTGTTCTTTTCCTTTCCATTTTTTGCATGTTCTTGTCCTTTCCATTTCCTACACATGTCCTTTCCATGCTCTTTCAATTTCCTTTCCATTTCCTTACCCGTCAAATTTCCTTTCTGTTTTCTTTTCAATTTCCTTCCCAGTTGCTTTTGATTTGGGCTTCAAAGAGTCCGGGTCCAGCCGGAATTACTATTTTTCTGATTAATTGGAAAAACTGGCTGGAAAATCAACAAATTCTTTATTTTTCTAATTGTTTGGAGGAGGCTTGGTTTCCGGAATGTTTGGGGCCCATTTTTCTAATGTCTCTAAGTTTCCTAAATTTTCTGATATGTCTAATTAATTCGAAAAATTGCTGGAAAATCAATCATTTTCCTAATTTTCTTATCTTTCTCATCAATCAACAAAATTAGGTGAATAATCAGTTTTCTATTGTTTTTTTGAGAAAACTTGGCTGGAACACCCAATAATTTTACTTATTTGCCTATTATTTGGAGGAGGCTAGGTTTCCGGAATGTTGGGACCTAGTTGTTCTAATTTGTCTATTTATCTGCTTGATTGGAAAAGTTAGCTGAAAAACAGCAAACCTGTTTCTAATGTTTTTGATGTTTCTAATTAATTAGAAAAATAGAAACATTAGTATCCTAGGCTCCTCCAAGAAAATTAGAAAATCAGAAAAATGATTCATTTTCGAGCCAACTTTCATCATTAGTTGAAGAACATATTTTCAGACTCGGCAAAAAATGACAACGATTCAAAGACTGCAAGAATATGTAGATATTAGAAAAAGTATGTATATATGTAGAAAAGCAGGCTCCATCGAGCATGTGTGTAGAGCGAAATGCAGATATGGACAGCAAAGCTTACACAAACTGGACGCGCGCGCCCCTGCCCTGCTGCGTTGAGCCAAACGAAAACGCAATCTTTCCAACCTGTAATCTTCACCCCTGCTACGCTTCAAAACGCAGGTGTTTAAAGTTCAGTGAACTTAGGATGAACATAGCGAGTGTGAAAAGCCTTCATTATACGCTACTTAATGTTGACCTATGATTAATAAATGCCCCCCCCCCCCCCGAATGACCCTAAGTAAAGATTGGGGGATAATTTTCAGGGTCGGGCTTTGATTAAAGGAGTTTAACATTGGGCTCTGTTTCCTGGTTTTCGAATACTACTTTAGAATTGGGCCAATTCAAAAGTAGTATTGGGCATGTTGTTTTTTCTTATTTTGCTTTGGGGGAATACTAGTTTAGAATTGGGCCAATTCTCAAGTAGAATTGAGCCAAGAACTGTTGCATGCATTCATGAGGGTGTGCATGGGCTGGCATGCATTCCAGGCGGGATTGAGAAGGAAATTCATGAGTGTTTGTATGGGCTGGCATGCATTCCAGGAGGGATTGGGGTCATAAAGGTTTGGTTGGCATGAGCTGGCATGTATTCATGAGGGTTTGCATGGGCTGATGTATTCCAAGAGAGGGTTTGCATGGGCAGGCATGTGTTCCAAGACAAATTGCATGGGCTGGCATGCATTTCAGGAGGGATTGGGAAGGAAATTCATGAGGGTTTGCATGGGCTGGCATGCATTCTAGGAGGGATTGAGAAGGAAATTCTTGAGGGTTTGCGTGGGCAGTGTATTCCAAGAGGGCATGTTGTTCTTATTTGTTTGGGGTGGAATTCTCAAGTAGTGTTGGGCCATCAACTTTTGCATGAAGTGCCTTAAGATTTGCATAGGCTAGCCTGCATTTCAGGAGGCATTCAACATGAAACCCATTAGGATTTACATGGGTGGACATGCATTTGCCATTCATGAGGGTTTGCGCGGGTTAGTATGCATTTCAGGAGTCATTCAACATGAAATCCCTTAGGATTTACATGGGTTGGCGTGCGTTTTAGAAAGGATTCAGCACGACATTCATGAGGGTTTGCATGGGTTAATATGCATTTCAGGAGACATTCAACATGAAACCCATTAGGATTTACATGGGTTGGCATGCATTTTAGAAAGGATTCAGCATGCCATTCCTGAGTTAGTATAGGCATTCCACATGAAACCCATTAGGGCTTACATGGGTTGGCCATACATTTCAGGAGGTGTTCAGCATGAATTTCGTGAGGATTGGCATGGGCTAGCATGCACATGGCATCCCAGGAGGCATTCAGCATGGCATTCATGAGGGTGTGCATGGATTTTGCGGGTGTTCAGCATCATGCTCATGAGGGTTTCGCATGGGTTAGCATGCGTTTCAAGAGGGGTTCAGCATGGATGACCATGAATAAAGATAAGGGGATCATATCTATTTTTTTGATGGGGGAATGTGGTTAGCATTATTCAGGGTCTGGTTGTTATTTAATGCATCAGGGTTCATGGGGGATACCCTTGCTGCCAGGGTCAATGTGAAAACCATGCAAATCCGCCAGAAGCATGCAAATCCCAACGTAAATCAGGTTTCCCTGGCATGATCTCTGCATTTTCTATGAAAACCATGCAAATCTCGTGGGGGGTGATGATTTGGAGCACTGACCCTGAATAAAGTTTAGATGCCAAAAGCATGCAAATCTGATGGTAAATCAGGCTTCCTGGCATGATCCCTGAAACATGGTATATGTAGTATTTCGTTCGGGCAGTCGGTTAGCGTTATTTACGGTGTATTTATTTAATCGTAGGTCCAAAGTACGACCCTTTCTCAGAAGGGCCAATTGTCATGCAAAAGCAAACAACTCTGCCGCTGGCAACCCGTGCTTGGCTGAAGCTGTTCCGTGCGGCGACGTAATCCCTGCTCCTTCCGAGAGTGTTCAGCGCGGGGCCCCAGGAGGCGCAATAGATCTTGGAGTCCGCGGGGTTGATGCCACAGGCGTTGAAGCAGTAGCCCTGCGTGAACTTGCAGACCTGCAATGTGACCCGAAAGGCGGTTCATGACATGCGGCCATACACCAAAAAAGGGAAGATTGGACAAAAGTTATGGCGAGGCTTGGTCAATTTGTCTTGCCAGTTGGAAAACGGGCAACTTCCTGAACATTGAAAACAAGTCTCAAACCTTGAGCCACCGAGAAACTGTGGTGTAGGTCCCCGTAACAAGGTCTAAGCGCTTGATCTCGGAATGGTCACATTGGTCGTTGCCGTTGAGATTGATCATCTGCAGCGCTGCAAGGGAAGTATCCGTGCCCTCCTGGCAATCCCACGGGAGGACGCTGCAGTCGTCCAGCCGCTCGGCCAAACTCAAGCCTGCCCAGCCACATAAAGAAAGGAATGCCTCTTTGTAAAGACCCCGTTTTGGCTCAAGGGCCTTGATACAAGTTACGTGGACTGCATCACGCGTTGGTCTAATCGCCACGTGTAGCCCGAATTGATTTGTTGGACACGCATATTTTCGTTTGTTTTTTCGTGGCCACTTTCTTGGGGTTCCTTGAAGACAAACTAAAACTAAAAAAGGCGCGCCCGCGTGTTATGGTGCATGTGAAATTATTTTTCGCAAAAAATGATCGAGCGAGGCGACCTTGCAACGCAAAGACCAGCCGGTTCTCATCCACGGAAGGAGGAAAGAAGAATCGTTTAGTTGGCAAGAAGGCTTTTAGTTTCTTAAAGTTTGTTGCAAGTCGCAGACGTGAAAGCAGTGCCAAACAGCCGCTCGGTGCGCAAGTTACGTAAGCCGAGGCGGGCGGGCGAACCGTTGTAGTATTCGTCGATGTGTTTCGCTCGTTTTCTAGTGCCTTGTCGTGTAGCAATGCTTTTTGCCCGCCGTGGAATCAGCTGAGCTTACCACAAACGTTTGCTTCAGGCTTTGTAGCTGGATGCGAAGGCTGAAGTTCACTTCCGGGTAGTAGGGCGTCCTACTCGAACCGCATCGAAGTAGATGTCGAGGTCTAAGATGTTGTTGGCGCATACTGTAAGCGTTGTTATGTTTATGGTGAACTTGTAATGCTTTGCGCCGCGCCGGTTGCGGAGTAGGCGCTTGACTTGCTTTTGTGAAAACGCGCCGCGCGGTCTCGCGCTAGTTCTCTTGTTGTGGGTATTCTGAGAATCCAGGGGATTCTTTGGCTATGCCCAACAACAAATTGTTTTCCTTTTGAAGCCTCGCAACATGTGTTGCGAGACCGGACTTGAGCCAATGGCGTCTGGTGCCTGTGCATGTGTGTTACATAAAACGCACCTATGCAAGGCATACTATTCACACCCTCCCACAGCAATCACACGACATGCCGGCACTCCTTTTACATTGTTTAATTGAATCACATGCCTCGGGCTCTGAAACCTTCCAAGGCTATGATACAGGAATGCACGAACCCCAGCGGCAGATGGATTGAACCATCGGGGCAATGGTGCACTGGGTACTTGCGATCCGAACTTGTGCTAGCGCTTGGCAAAAGGGCGCTTTTAGCTACTTGAGAAAATGAGAAATTGATAAAGCTGCAAGCTCTTTTTCAAAGGTCGCCAGCCACACTCCGCCTGAAAATTATATCAGCATTGCGCTGGGAAAGTTAAGAGCTTCAGCTTTCATTCAGTGCGTGATGGTTTTCTATTGGTTCCCTATTGATTTGTCCTTCGAAAAAGTGAGGTTTTGCTATTATTGAATGGACGTCTGTTAGAACCAACTAGAAATTATTGAAAAAATGCAACTTCAAAAACACCAGAAAACTATTGATTAGAATCCATAGCCGATGCTATTGACGCAGCTGGAAAGGTGCAAAAACAGCATCAAGGAGTCGGTTGAATCACTACATCTTTGGATATCGCTTGCAGATGCTGTGGAATGGCGAAACAAAGGTGGACAATATTTTGTGGTGAAAGGTGACATGGAAGAGTACTTCGGGCGATGCGCCCATCAACATGATTCAGGCAATCGCTCCGCGACCAATCATCATTAAAATCAACACGACCGCTGACATCTTGTCGTTGAACGGACCATTGAAGCGTTACACCGACGTAATCGTAGCCGGCGTCAAGGCACCTGCAATGGTGTTCAAATCCTACGCTTTTTGGGAAGTTTTCTTCGCTATTATGGGATGGGCGGCAGGTGACATCGGACACTGAAGGATTCATGTGGTATGTCCTGGACAGGCGTCTGCCACGAGAACGAGTCCTCTCTTCTGCAATGTTGACGTCCCAGACGATTTTTGGAAATTGAGGATATATAAGATCTCAGCGCCTCTGTCGGGGAAGAAGATGTCGACGGAACCGCCTTGACCCTGTGACCGAGGATGTGAGAGGGCACGTGGCTGAAGAGTCCTGGATGGCGACCGAAGTGAATTCGATCGCGCTGGAACTTCGTTTACGGTCTTACGGGTCGGTTGTTCACGTGAACGATGCGCCCTTCATCTGCCAACAATGCAAACACGGAGAAGAAGGTCGTCTTGAGGACAACGGTCATCGAGAACATTGCATACTCTGCGCTGGCGCGGTGCCTTGAAGGCTATGGCAACAAGAGCGAGCGTTGCCGCATGGCGGCAGCAGATGCACTCAATATCGTCCGCAACTCTCTCGCGCAATCCCCGGTCACCGAGCGATCGCGCGGAAGGATTCCTAAGCATCTTCATACCTACTCCCGCGCTCGGGGCTAGTTAGAGAACTTATAACTAGGTTATAACTAGGTTAAGTTGGCTAAGTAGGGCTGTAAGTTACTTAAGTAACCTAAGTAGCCCCCATCTGTTGGGTGAACATATATGTTACTCAGGGGGTACTTAGGGTCTACTTTTTTTCTTACTGGAACTTAGGGGGTACTTAGGGTGAATGAACTTAGGGGTACTTCGGGTGAACAATGCTCGTTTTCCCGAAAGCATCGCGAAGGGTTCTTCCGTACGGAGCCCTTGGACAAGTTACACAGAGCCAAGTTGCACAGAGCCAAGTTACATAGAGCCAAGTTACATAGAGCCAAGTTACATAGAGCCAAGTTACATAGAGCCAAGTTACATAGAGCCAAGTTACATAGAGCCAAGTTACATAGAGCCAAGTTACATAGAGCCAAGTTACATAGAGCCAAGTAGAGCCAAGTTACATAGAGCCAAGTTACATAGAGCCAAGTTACATAGAGCCAAGTTACATAGAGCCAAGTTACACAGAGCCAAGTTACATAGAGCCAAGTTACATAGAGCCAAGTTACATAGAGCCAAGTTACATAGAGCTAAGTTACATAGAGCCAAGTTACATAGAGCCAAGTTGCATAGAGCCACCCCCTAAGTTCATTCACCCTAAGTACCCCCTAAGTTCCTGTAAGAAAAAAGTAGACCCTAAGTACCCCCTGAGTAACATATATGTTCACCCAACAGATGGGGGCTACTTAGGCTACTTAAGTAACTTACAGCCCTACTTAGCCAACTTAACCTAGTTATAACCTAGTTATAAGTTCTCTAACTAGCCCCAAGCGCGGGAGTAGGTATGAAGATGCTTTCTGTGAGAAGGAATCCTTCCGCGCGATCGCTCCGTGACCGGGGATTGCGCGAGAGAGTTGCGGACGATATTGAGTGCATCTGCTGCCGCCATGCGGCAACGCTCGCTCTTGTTGCCATAGCCTTCAAGGCTCCGCGCCAGCGCAGAGTATGCAATGTTCTCGATGACCGTTGTCCTCAAGACGACCTTCTTCTCCGTGTTTGCATTGTTGGCAGATGAAGGGCACATCGTTTACGTGAACAACCGACCCGTAAGACCGTAAACGAAGTTCCAGCGCGATCGAATTCACCTCGGTCGCCATCCAGGACTCTTCAGCCACGTGCCCTCTCATATCCTCGGTAACTTCTTGGCAGATCTAAACCATTCTTTCTTGGGTTCAGTTATGTTGCACTTGCCTCGCTGTTCTCCGTTCGCAATTGTTGAGTTTCATTGTTGAAGTCGTAAACCATTGCTTCAAGCTCATTGAGCCTGCTTGCTTTGACGTTCAACTGTTGTGTTGCCAAGTTGTATTCGTCTCTCATTCTCCTGTGAACAAACGCAAGCTGGGGCCCCAAGGTGTTATTCATTCTTTCTACATTTCTGCTCTCAATGGTCTCAATGCGCGGTTCTCGTCACACCGCACGGCAGCGTCGCTCATCTGTAATTCCGTTTTCCGTTGGGCTTTCCGCAATTCATCATCAAGTTGTTGATGCGCACTTCTGGGGTCACTTGGAGAACCCTTTGCAGAAGAGGACTTTGCCCCGTTTCGGGATTTGCGGAGTTGCGTCCGCCCATCCACACCTGCGTCGCTATGCTCACTTGCTGCCGCAGGCCCAGCGCTCACCACAATGGTCTCCCCGCTCCCATGACCGGCTGATGCCGGTCTTCCTTCCGTGAATGTAACCAAAGATCTTCCATCGGACATTGTCACGTGAGCGATGCGCCACTTGGCAATGTTCGGATTCATTCTTTATGAAACGGTGGTACGCGCCGCTTCGAATCAGCCTTGTCTCACAGCACGTGGGACAAACCCTACGGCTGATAACCTGAGAATCGAGGGGATTATTTGGTTATGCCCAACAACGGTGGTTGTGTTGTCCTCAATGTATCAATTACCTCTAATACCGCGCACCTCCAGCGCGCTCGATTGTTTTCCTATTGAAGCCTCGCAACATGTGTTGCGAGAGCGGACTTGAGCCAATGGCGTCGTGTGCATGTACGTTACATAAAACGCACCTGTGCAAGGCGTACTATTCACATAATCTTCTATCGTTGGTTTGTAGTGGGTTGCCAAGTCCTACATCGAATCTGGAAGTCCGAGAGTAGAGGCCAATGTGTAACCAAAGCTTCGTTAGAACTCAGTCATTCTACGCACACGATCGACTGCAGTGAAGTGCAGCGAATTTTGAGGAGTAGGGCACGCATCAGTCTTGTTGTTGTGCTGGAGGGGCTCTTTCTTATTGTTGAAACCGCAGGTCGGTGAACATGTCCCCAGTCCTAAACGACCAGAGCCCTCAGTCGTCGTCGTGAAATTCTTTCTGGACTGTAGTGGTGTCTCGGTTTTGTGTGCTCCTATTCTTCCTCTCCGCAAGAGCATCTGAACATGCCCTGGTCATACCCCAAGTGAAAGGGAGGAAACTGCATCTGCCTTGTTGTCACGCGCAAGTACCTTGAATCGACAGTGGGAGATGGTCATGTCTCGTTGGGCTTGCCAGAGACATTGCTAGCTCCTTATGCCACCTCGCCGCGGTTGCTCTGACCACGCAAGGTCGATAAATAGCTCTGATCAGTTCCCCCCTTTCTGATTGTCTCCGTGAGACGCTCGAGCTTGTCCCTCTAACAGCGTTCACATAAAGTACTTTCTTGTTCCTGCTTTGCGGGCTGAACATCTCCCCCTTCTTCGTTCTTGGTGACTTGATCCTCAATACTTCTTGCTGCGCGCGCCCATCTGCCTCATAGCTCCAAAACAGAGGGTGTTGCGACTTGGCGATTGGCAGGGTTGAGCGGTATCTGCTTGTAGGCGCTCTGGTCAAGCACCTGCCCGTGAGGTCCAGCTCCATGTTGGCGCCCAGATCAGCGGCTTTCATCCGCATCGCTGCCAAGGCAACAGCGCCAAGGTCCCCGTGCCATAGGTCTGGTTGATGGAAAACTCCGACAGGTCGTCCGTGTTGCGAATCGAATTTTCTTGCCCTGGGCAATGCCAAATCTGCGACTGGGAGCCCAGAGAAGGCCAACTTGCTTTGCTACTTCACCCTTGGCAAATGGTCCTGACAGCCAGCTTTTTCCGTTTCTTCCAAGGTTGACTCCCGCACCTTTGCAGCCATGTCCACTGTTTCACCTCCACTGCTCGTCGTCTGGTTTCGTGCGTTGTGCGCACCACTTCATTCTGCGCAAACTTGGCGACTCTCCACAATTCCTCCTGCTTGAGCTGGGCTGGCTTAAAGTCCGCAGAAACCTCCGGCACTTTTCGATCCATGCCCTTCCTGAGCGCCTCCTCGGCTCCCTGAAGCTCAAAGGCTCTAGCGTTCATCCACATGACCACCTCGACTCTTTTCTTGCGCACAAATTGAGGGAGCCAAGCCTTTTTCAAGTTGCGCAAGGTCACCGGAAGACAGGCCTGGTGAAGTGGAGCCGCTGCAAGCATTCAGGCTGTCAACGACTGGGGAAACAACTTGTCCCCCTACATGGGTCAGCCGGGGCCCACCAGAAAAAGAGAACTTTTTGGACTGCCCGGCAGGGATGAGGGCTGCGCTTGGCGTAGAACGAGGTTCTAGGCTGACAAGCCCAACTTCTGCCAGACACTGTTCGGCAACAAGCCTGCTGATGACTTGACACAACTGCAAAGGGTACTCGGCTTCAAACGCAGTGTCACACTTCCAACCGCCCAGGAAGGACTTGTTAACAGACCAAGGCTTGTGACGATGCTTCTGATTGCACTTGCGAGCAAGGCTGCACAAGACTTGGCAATTGCGCAACACTCTTATCACGGTCTCCGCCATGCATACACGCGTGAAAGGTAGTGAAGTGCACATTTGGCAACGTAAAAAGAGCTTTGACAATCGGAAGTTCCCTAACCCGGACCCGCGACTTGGTGGGACTGGCAATGAAACTATAGATGCCTACTGCGTGGCATTCGTGGAACACGGATGCGTTGGCCCAATGGACCCTGAAAGGTCGCCCCCGGTCACTCGGTGCGCCGCAACGGCTTTGGCTCCGGCAAGCCGAGCCGGCGCAAGCGGGTGGGCAGTTTCTTCTTCCTGGCCTGTGACGTTGTTTGACACGGGGGATCTTGGGGTACAAACTTGACTTGCCTAGACTTCAAGAAGTCCATTAAAAAGTTACGCGGTTCAGCGCGAGAAAGGTCCCAAGTGCAGCGAAACCATGAGCCTTCAAACAGTTCAACAACGTGGGGATCTCGTGCGGTGGCAAATATTTGAGCCCTCCATCCACTTTCATGCCGTGGCACTTGTCAATGATGTGGTGCGCAGGCTCCCACTGATCCGTGACCGAGAGGCGGGTAGGCGATCTTCACCTTCTCCCACCGCGCCTTCTCTCCACCAAAACTTTCTTTTTGTTTCTGGCTCCTTCTTGACCACCTCCAGCCTTGCTCGCAAATCCACCATCGTAGGCCTCGAAATATAGCCTTCTCACCTTTGGCAAGTCCACGTGGCTCTAATCTTGGTTTCCCAAGAGCGGTCTCGCCGAAAGGTCAACGAATGCCACATCATCAGCAGCTGTGGGCGTCAAGTTGAGAGTGTCCCCGCCCACGCTGCCGGAACTTGTCCTCATAGGCGCTGAGCCCACACTCATGCCTTCAGCCTCGAACTGAAGACCGCCTCACTGTCAATCAGGGACGACAAGTCTGATTGCTACTTCCGTCTCGCAATTTTCAACTTTCGTCACTCAGGGCCAAGCAACACAGCACAAGTCTTCAAGCAGCGCCTAGCAGGGCAACCCGCAGCTGCCACTTTTTCCCCAGACTATTCAGCGGAGCAAACATGACCAGCAGGACAACCCTGCAGAGCTGCCTGGCTGGACAACCCGAGCCAGGCGCCCCTTGCGCGAAAGCAGATGCTCCTGCTTCTTTTCCATGTTGGCTTCACTGCTTACAGCCCTAGACATCCGGGCCTGCTTTATTGCGCGCGTTGCACACTTTGCAGATGTCCAGGCCAAACACTTGCTCTGTAGTAGGCATCAAGCCACCCCGCAACTCGGCTGCCGAAATGGCCTGTACATCTTTTTTTGGCCAACCCGCACAAGCGGTCATCAGCGCTTCGAAGCTCGCCTGCCTCTCCGACTCATCCGAGGAGTTGCTGTCAGAGATTGCCCTGCCACTTTCATCTGCCGTCTCCTCTTACAAGTCTCTTGCTGTTGGCACCTTCAAAGTCCCCCTCACTGCTGGGCTCGCTGTCCACCACCTGGACCACTTCTCGCCCATGCTCTCTGGTCATTCACCTTTTTCCCCGATACGCATCCGGAGCAAACTGCTCAGATTTTCTGGATGACATTATGTAGTGCCTCGAGTCCTGCTGCGATAGCATCGCGGCTGTAGACGATCAGGCTTCTGTCCTTAAGTTTGACGTGGAAACCAAGGTGCCTTCGGATCTTTTGCCTTCGCCAGCCAGCTCAGTGCGGCACCGATGTTTGTGAGGTCCGATGGCCCGTGCCTGCTCAGAAACTTGCACGGCTTCAAGATGCCCCGAATGAACGGGACACCCGGCGCTTTTTCTCCTGATGTGAAGCCCTGTCACGCCAACGGATTGGTGCCCGCACCCCAGCCCCAGGATCTCCTCCAGGCTCGGTCAATCTCCTGCTTGTGCGATTTTCTCTCCAACAGCAGCAGACCCGCAAAGCCATGCCCCCATGGCATCTGCAAGGCCTGCGGCGCACGCATCTTCGCCTTCTGCAACTCAGCCTCAGTTGCCTTGCCTCGCGCGTGTCTTCCTCGACCTCGCTGAAGACTTCCGTGGGCGCTTCGGCGTCTCTGCTCTGTTCGGCTTAAAGGTCTTGGAGCGTCACCCCGTCGCCATTCCCCCAGTCCATCTCGCAGTGGCACTGGAGGAAAAAGGGAAACGAAGTGACAGGATGACTCGTGCCACAATGGCGCACGCTGCAACTGTCCAAGGTTGCACATGGTTGTGAACTTGTGCCGGACAAACACTCTTCTTCTACAGGCAACTTTCAGCCAGCGCTCATATCAAGCAAACGCTGGTGCGCTCAAGTCAAGCAAGCGCTGTGCTCCAAAGCTAAAGCGCATTGGCGCTTGCAACCAGACTTGCGCCAAGATGGCACACGCTTGCAAACGCTCATGTCAGGCAACTACTGCTGTGCTCCAAAGGCAAGGTGTATGGATTCTTTCAACCAGACTTGCGTCAAGATGGCGCACGCGCACGCGCCCATGTCAGGCAACCGCTGCTGCACGCCAAAGGCAAGGCGCACTGCTGCTTTCAACCAGACTTGCCCCAAGAAGGCACATGCTTGCAAACGCTCATGTCACGCAATCGCTGCTGGGCTTCAAGGGTAACATGCATCATGAGTGCGTCGCATGGTGCGTATTCGTTTTTCAGGGGACCATGGCGGGTTTGGCTGCGCAAGCGGAAAATGTTGAAGGGCGATTCAAGTTCTCTTTCTCCAACAATCATACACGCGCCCCAGGAAACATCTAGACCGTGCTAGCGTCACCTGTGGGCTACGCAGGCCATGACAGGCCATGTGAGCGGTGTACTCAGGCAAAATACAACCGATCCCCTCTCCCTATTGAGAGTTGTGTGTCACATCAAACGAAGGGGTGCAAGGTCTAGGCCGTGAGCTACAGTGTAAGCAGTAAGTAGAAAGAAGCTTGAGCAGTCGGCCAAGGGGCGTCTGCCGCCGAAGAGTCGTTCCTGCCAGGGAACCGTAAACTAGTTGTGATTTGGTCGCGAAGGTTTTTTTACCAACTGAAAAGGATTTTAGGGGTCTCAAATTTCATTGTAGCCTTCTCAGAACCAAAGCCCTGTTTGCATGACTGTTTTTCTCAGCCTTGCCAGCCATGACTGTGGCCCAAACCACCGCTCAGCCTCCAAACATGTCCGACAGTCCCTGTCAGAAATCGGTCGAATTGTGTCCCTCTGGCTCTCAAACTGTGTTCCCTTGAAGCCCTGTGAAAACGCATGAACATGCACCCAGCGTGCATCTTGGGAACCAACTCACACAAACCATGTTGTAAGAGTTGTCAAGGGCCAGCTGCGATCAGAAACGTCACCCGCGACTGACAGCCCCGCCCAGCAAAAACTGATGCCTGCTTCGCGCGCTGGAGCAGCGACCCGGCATCAGCATCGCAATTCGAGGCCGGGTGTTCCGCACGAAGATTGCGCACAAGCGCGAGAGTGAAACAAGCAATCGCGCTGCACACCTTCACCATTTTAGGCAAGGGCGAGCGACGCTTGCTTTGTAGCCACCGGAAGCAAGACACAGTCAATCACAAAACCACTTTCCCAATGATGCCAGCGCCATGATTGAGTGGTCATCATTAATCCTGGCAGCGCAATTGGAGCAGCTTTCATGGCGTTGGTTTGAGCCATTGCTGCCTTTTGCCAAAAAGCAAGCAAAATTTAGGGGCGGTTGCACCTCTGTCTTGGGCAGCTTGGGTGTAAGCCTAGGGCGTTCAGATTCCGATTTCTGAATGGCAAATCTGTCAATGTGTGTTCAGAATAACGCAAGTTTCGCCTCAGCTTTCGCACGGCGCCTTTGAGAAAATCACACCGTCATAGCCTTGCAACTTCACAATCATGGGGCCTAGCTTGCCTCACCTTGTCTGGGTTCTTCGGGTAGAAAAAGGACAGCGCTGGGGGCCCTCTCGTACAAAACGGTTGCGATGTTCAAGCTAAACCGCCAGCGCTCAAACGACCCTCAGGCCTAGCGTGGGCCCAAATTTTTGTGCAGAATGGCCAATTTCGGTTTGAAGCGTGTTGCGTGTGTTGCCGCTTGTCTGGCTCGTTCTGCGATTGCTGCTGCCTGCTCGTCCGGTCGTTGTTCCATTCTTCAAGAACATCGCTCGCAGAGAATCTGCCCTGCTTTCGCAAAGCATGTTGCACAGTTGAAGGCTCTGTGCAGACTTGGCTCTGCGCGCGTGCAACTTTGCAAGTAGACTGCGAACTGTCGCGCTGCAAGATTCTAGACGCTGCCTGCAAGTTGCCATACGGAAATTGCACTGTGCAGTTTTTTGCGCGGGGTGAATCGCGCGCAAGTTTCTATTGTGGCATCTGTGCACTTGTGCTCCACGTCGGTGAGCTGGAGGATGCGATGAGGTACAGCCTTAAGACCGTCGGCCGCGTCGACAATTTCTTCAGCATCTATGCGCCATGGGACGCCAGAACGTTCTGGGAGCCAAGCAATTCCGTGGTCATTCATCCCTCATGATACTGTTTGTGCCTATCAAGTCGTTGACTGCGTACGGAGCGTGTGCGACCCAGACCGGTGTGATTGTTACCAAGACCAAAGTTCCGTTCAAGGAGGTCATGCGGGCGTGGTGTGCCAGGCCCGACCACCGCCAAGTTTGAGGTATGCTTCCGTCCTTTGTCCTTTGGCGTGCACCTGTTCACGGACACCCGCGGACATGCAGAGATTGATGGATGTGGTGGCCCCAAATCTTTGGCGTGTATTATGGCCAAGCTCAAGGATGTCCATGAGCTGCAAATGGCTGCTGCTTACGCTGCTGGAGACAGAGGCACGGAGGAGGGTAACCAGAAGTACGAGAAGGCGGACCAATCTTAGAAACTACGTCATCCTTCTCTGTTCCGGAGAGCACACGACAAAACGTGTCCGCCCAGGAGGCAGCAGAAGAGGTGGATGTTGACCAGCTCAAGCCGAGAAGGCAAAGGATGAAGAGGACGGCGAAGAACTGCGCAAACAGCCAAAGCCAAAAGGAGAGTGTGGGAAATCCAGCAAGACCTTCCAGGACGACGATGACGAAATGGGAGCACAACCCAAGGATGAACGTGAACCGGGATCGGACCGTTCGCAATTAATGTCCAGAGACAAAGCGGAGGGCGTGGACCCGCCCGTTGAGGCCATTTTAGGCCACATGGCCATCATCAGATCAGATTGTTTGTCCAACATCTACTGGGAGGAAGTGGTAGAAAGACTGGATCGAGGAAAAAAGGATCGTTTTTTGCACTCACCAAAGTATTTGCCTGTCCGACCCATGGCTCAATGGAAGGCGATTTGGGTGGAGACACGGAATGGACTCAACGCGGAAGACCTGCCGCATACGCTTCATGACGTGACAATTTGAGGAGTACGTTGACATGAAAGGCGTCATCCACTTGATGGGATTATTCTGTTTGGAGCTTTATCCGATTCTATTGGAGATGTTCGGGAAAGACAATCTCTGGAACAACCTCAAGGAATTGAAGGGTGCTGCTATCAGGACGTACAAAACACCCGAGTTGAGAGCTGCAAGAAACAACGCGCTGGATCAGATGTTTGATATGTTTGATGTTTTCTATATCGTTATCGAAACCAGCTTCCTCGATGGAATGAGGGTGGTAAGTATATTCCCTTCGACTGGATGCGCACAGCGATGGGCGACAAGATGACCGTCCAGGATCTCCTGTTGATGAACTACCACGGGATGCGTTTCAGTCCGATTCTTCGAACTCAGTGGGAGAAGTACAGCAGGCTCAAAGCGCAGGGGCTGACCATTTAGACCCACTTCCCGCTAGCCGATGCGGCTACGATCCAACCCAACTACGGATGGGTCGGCAAGCCGAACCTAAGGCTTCTCAACGGGGAGCTGCGGATCCACATCCCCAAGGCTGCTTAGAGCCTCTTCGGCGGAACGGAAGAAGACGGGCGAACATTCTGGGCAACTCCGGTCCATTAGTCCGTCTGACTGTGATGCTGGGCCCTCTTCCAGATCATTGGGCAGAAGCAAAGGCAAGGGCGACAAGGGCAAGCAGAAGGGGAAAGGCAAAGGGAAGGACACCAAGGGTAAAGGTTATGCGCCTCCTTGGCGATGGGATCTTGGCGATGGGATTTGCGGGACCGCACCAACGTACGTGACACGTACTAGTCGGGTTAGCACGATGGATGGGATGAGTACTGGTGAACATTATCAGCCTATTTCCATATGGTGCGAGTGCGTAGGGAAATCGGGATCGTTTACCGACCCGAGAGTACCAAGAAAATCCGAGAGTACCATTGCGTGCAATGCCCCTTTGCATATTTTATTCCTTGCCTAAACACATATTCCAACTTCAAAGCAGAAATTCGGACAAGCGGCAAAATGGACTCAAACGCTCTATTTCAACCGGGCATGGGGGGACCCTTGTTATGCCCATCCCTCACGTACTTGCAAGAGACAGACGACACCTGCGTTCACTCTTGGCAGAATGCTTCCCCTGCGATCCCAGATTTGCAAAGCGGTGAACGATACGAAACAGGCACCAGGCATCTCTTGGAGTGAAAACAACAAAGGGAGTGCAGTCATGTTTAGGTTACCAGGCTTCTGCTACCAACCCAGGGTTCCTGCAGGATTCAATGCTGGCTTTGCTTGAAATGTTTGGTACTATTGTTGATTGATCAAACATATTCTTTGGCCTATGCGTCAACGCATTCGCACATGAAATGATGAAAACAAAGAACCCGAGGCCACTTGGTTGAATTGGAACTTGCTGTGCGCCCCAGAATCACGTTGCATCTTTTCTCAATCAATGCAACTGCACCAAGTCTCTATTTTATCAGCGTTATTGTCCACAACCACGCCATGCTCTGAAGGTATGATTGTGTGAACAATCAGCACTCTATTGCCTTGACCTGCGCTACTGCTTCTTCTGGCGACCACATCATGATCTATGCGATCTCAGGGCATGGAGATCTCCGTTCGGTGAGATTCAAAGTTGTGTCAACCAACATCGTGAAAGCAGCGAGAGGCTTCAGGAATGGGATCATTGCTTGCACTGCGTGGATTTTCACCGTCTAAAGAACCTTGGCCAGGGGAATCATCGGGGCCCATGATTTTTGAATGTCTTGACGGTTTTGAACTCCCCAGCTCAAGAACCTTCATCATGGAGACCCTGGCTTTTGAACTTCCCAGCTAAAGAACGAGGAAATGAAGAGAAATAAAGGGGGAAACGAAAGGGGAAGGAAGGGAAATGAAGAGCAATGAGGGGGAGATGCAGGAGATGAAGGGGAAATGAAAGGGAAACGAAGGGGGAATGGGACATGTGCGGGAAATTAACTTCTTCTTCCTAACTAATCATCAAGGTCCCCCTAATGAAAACCTTAGTCTTGAATCCCAAATCCGGGAATACTTTTAGACTTCGCCGTGACAAGCCAATTGTATAGGCATTTTCCCGCTCGAGCTCCGGATTCCATTTTGGACCCGGGACGCTTCAACCCACGGCTACCCCAAAGTTGCGGCTTTCGAGCCGGAGCCCCGGGAGGGCCACGTTGCGAGCGCCTGGGCTACGGCTCAAGAACGAACAGGCGCTACGCCGGGCCATTTTCTCTGGGGAAGGGTTGAAATGGGACCTGAAAGGACATGACCGGGGAAACCCAGCGGAAATGAAGGAAGGGAAATGACAGGGAAATGAGAAGGGAAATGAGAAGGGACATAAACAGAACCGGAAATGAAGGGAAAAGGAGCGGCATGTTCGTGGGAGATGCAATGTCAGCGAACTGAGCCGGAGGTTCTAAAGTATACATATATGGGTTTGTATTTTTTAGGGTGGCCGGGCAGGAAGGTTTGAGTACGGGGTATGATTCGCAGGTATGATTCGCAGGTATGATTCGCGGGTATGATTCGGGGTATGATTCGGGGGTATGATTCGCGGAAGCAGCAGCAGCAGCAGCAGCAGCAGTAGTAGTAGTAGTAGTAGTAGTAGTAGTAGTAGTAGTAGTAGTAGTCGCCGAAGTAGTAGTACTAGTAGTAATATTGTAGTAGTAACAATAGTAGTAGTAGTAGTAGTAGTAGTAGTAGTAGTAGTAATAAAAGGGGTAGTAGTCGTAGTAGTAGTAGTCGTAGTCGTAGTAGTAGTAGTAGTAGTAGTAGTAGTAGTAGTAGTAGTAGTAGTAACAGTAGAAGCCGCGACTGTAGTGGCGCGGAAGCTTTGAAAAGACTTGGCGCTGGCCTTGGCAAGGCAAGTTCATTGCGCGGGTATGATTCGGGTATGATTCGCGGGTATGATTCGGCCAGGTGCAAAACGGCACTGATTACAAACTCGTAGTAGCTGTGGTAGTAGTAGTAGAAGTAGTAGTAGTAGTAGCAGTAGTAGTGGTGGTGGTAGTAGTAGCAGTTGCAGAAGTAGTGGTAGCAGCTGTAGCATAAGCAGCAGCGGCTGTAGTGGTGCGGACGCGGTGAAAAGACTTAGCACTAGCCTTGGCAGGGGAAGCTCATTGTCCGGGAATGATTCGGGTATGATTCGCGGGTATGATTCGGCTAGGTGCAAAACGGCACTGATTACAGACTCAGAATGATGTATGTGGTAGTAGTGAGTAGTAGCAGCAGCAGCAGCAGAAGCAGGAATAGTAGTAGTAGAAGCAGAAGTAGAAGCAGT